TACACATTCGGTTCCACATCCTTTCACATATACCTATACATATGGGTACGAACATTTGCGTATACGTATACATGGACACATGCATAAACACGTACATGTTCATATTCAGTTACATTCGCATACATATTTACATGCACATATACACACACAGGTCTGTGCATTAACACACGCGCACACGTATTCACATATGCGTATGTAAAGGCATGCTCATATATATACATATATATATACACATGTATAAAACTATGTGTATATATAATTTTGCGCACGCAAACATGCCTGGCGTTTTTTTGGAAAGGGGGCGATCCGTGGAGCCGCTGGACAGCCCCGACACGCCACTGGCGGGCCCATGTGCAAGTACATGTGCGTGCGCATTTGCATTTTTGCATATGTGCATGTATAGTATTCATATGTGTTCACGTACATGGTAATGCATATGTTTCTGTGTTGTGTTATATATGTACTCAGCATGGGTATGCCTGGTCGCACCCGTCGTGATTGTTCAAATTGTCTGTCTGTCCTCGCGTCTTACTCGCCCCTTTCTCGCCTGAGATGTCCTGGCCCCGTCCTCGCCTGAGAGTCTTTGCCCCTTTCTGACCTGGGCACGATACCTGGCCAGGCTTTGTTTGTTCTAGTTGATTTGATCTCCGAGCTAGGGAAACCAAACCAGGCGTTTTTTGTTGTTGTTTTCTTCTTCCTGGTTTGGGGGATCACGAGACCTTGCCAGGCGTTGTTGTTTCATTGTTTTTCTGGTCCCGGAGCTCACGGAACCTGGCCAGGCGTTGTTTTTGCTGTTTTTTTTTTCTGACCGCGGCGTTCCCAAACATCTGGCCTGGCGTTTGTGATTCGCAAACCCTCAGCCTCCAGGCCAGGTTACGTGAGCCCCAAGACCAGAAACCATAAGAAAACACAGCGCCTAACCATGACACAACAACGCCAGGCCAGGGTGTCGTGCGTTCCATGGCCTGGAAAACCAGAAACACCAACGCCTGGCAGGGTTTTGTGGGCCCCCCAAACCAGAAGCACACGAAACACCAACGCCTGGCCAGGTTCCGCGAGCTCCGAGACCAGAAAAAAAACATAACCAGGGGATGGCGGAGAGCGGCGACGATGTGTTTGTTCATAGCTACGGATGCTCGTCGATTTCGCAGGTGGGTCTCATTTGGGCCTTTGGCGGTCGAGACGCGCTTGTCGGTTGCGGCAGTGGCCGTTTCCCTGAAGGAATCCAGGGTCTTGCGACCAGAAAACCGCGGAGGGCGGCAGCGGTGTGTTTTTTTCTCATCAGGCACGGTTGTGTTATTGAGCTCGTGGCTCTCTCTTTCGGGTCTTTGGCGGTCGGGATGCACGCGCCGGTTGCCGCCATGGCAGTTTTACCGAGGGAACCCAAGGTCTCGCGACCAGAAAAATCACCGAGGGCGGTAACGATGTGTTGTTGTTCCATGCGGCATGATTGCTTTGTTAAGCTCGTGGTCTCTTTCGGGTCTCTGGCGGTCGGGATGCACGCGTCGGTTGCGGCGGCGGTCCGGTTTCCCGGTAACCATGATGATGACAACTGTGTTTTACCCATGAAACACGTCTGTTCTTTTTCGCTTGTGGGCTTCATTCGGGCCTCTGGCGGTCGATATGCGCGCGTGGGTTGCGGCATTGGCCGTTGTTTCCCAAGGCGAAAGTACTGAAGGACGAGGGGGCGGAAGGGGGGGCGAGGAGGAGGAGAAGGACGACGAGGACGAGGGCGAGGGCGAGGTGGAGGTGAGGTTGGTGGTGGAGGTGGACGAGGAGGGACCTTCTTCAGGGCATTCGCCCTTTCACGCGCGCCCGACGACGATTGCGATCGAAATGTCGTCGGGCTTGGGCGCGCCGCGAATTTGTGCGCGCTCTATCATTTGTTCGGCCGCGGTCTGCGCGTCGGAGTTTGCGCGCGTGGATGCGAACTTTATGGCGTCGTACGGGACGTTGTCAGTGGTGCTGCCATGACAGCGTATGATGATGTCACGCGGGCTCGAGTGGACGACGCCATCGTCGGCCTGCGTCACGGAACGCTCCAAATCGTTGCCAGCGTTGCGCACGCCAGGGAAAATCGGCACCTGTTTCGGCCCCGTGGTTTCGCCTGATTCCGTGGTGATGCGGACGTGGTGGTCCCAGGTGATGAAGCAGCACGTGTAGCTTTCCGTGAGTTCCAGCCTGCGCCGCACCTGGATGGAAACGTCCCCGGTGTGGTAGTAGGACATGTTGGTACCAGCCACCGAACATAAACCGACCGTGGTGTAACCGAGCAGCGTAGGTGTTACGGATGGCGAGCTGCAAGAACTTCGGAGTTTATGTTGTCGTGATTTGTGACATGTTTTTGTTTGGCGTTTTGTGTGCGCGTGTGTGTCTGTGTGTGTGTGTGTGTGCGTCCTTGTGTTCTAGTTTTTGCTTGCAGGAGCCTCGCCGCTAACGCCGCAGGAGCGTCCGTGGCCATGTTCCGCACGTCTCCGCCGATTTCGCGGACCACGTGGGCGTCGAATTCTTGCTTGTCACCAGTGGCGTCTCCGTAGGTCCCAGGAGAAGTCCTCCGGTTTGAATAGGGGCGCGACACAGCTTACCCCGTCGCACACCGCACCCCGCTGAGCCGCCCCCGGCGTCATGTCGGCGTTGGATCTGTTGAAGAAGCGGTGCTGCGCTTTGGAGGCGCACCAGGACGCGAGGCGGAACATCATCGGGACTGCTGCCGCGTAGGTTCGTGGAGGCTGTGCCGCTAGGTTTGCGTCGACGCAGGTTCGGGCCATAATAGGTTGCAACACAAAAAGGAGTGGGTGTGGATGTGGAAAGAAAGGGCGAGAAGGGCGAGAAGGCGGGATCGATGAAGATACGTGGGCGAGAAGAGTGGGCGTTAGAGCAGGACAGAAGGACGAACCGAGGAAACGGAGGAGGATCATGATCAGGATGCAGCAGTCGTGCTGCGCTTCCCTGAAGCATTTCGCTCCTCGTTGGCCTGGGGGCGTTTTGCCTCCGACTGGCGTGGTCTTTATGCTCCTGGATCATTTCGCCCCGTATTTGGCTGATCATGTCGCCTCTGCGTGATCAGGAGCATTTCGCTCGTGCGTGATCTGGAGCATTGCGCCCCGTTGAGTATTTCGTCCCGTATCTGGCTGGAGCATTTCGCCCGTTTGTGATCGGGAGCTTTGTTGTGGAGGGTGATCAATGGAGAGGAAACGTGTTGCCAAATATTTGCCAAATTAAAGCATGTGTCAAACATGCTTAAACTATGTTTACAACAGGTACCAAACATTTTAAAACATTTTTCCACCATGTGAAACACATTTACAGTTCAATGATTCGATTGTTACAGTGTCCAGTGTCATGGCATCCACAAAGCATTGCGCCCCCCGGAAATTTTCGGCCCGTATCCGGCGGGAGCATTTCGCCCCTAGTTGACATGGGGAGTTACGCCCTTTGTTTGAGGGTGCAGTAGATGCACTTCACCTGTGCTCCATGAACACCGCGGGCAAGCGACGCGAAGGGAAAACGGATGTGGGAGGATTGGGAAGGAGGAGGATGAGGGAAAAAGGGCAGAGGGGAATATTCGAACAGGGCGCGGCAAATGCAGCTATCGGGGTAATGGGGCGTGAGCGCGTATGTCTTCGACATATATATACGCACATATATTTGTAGGAATTGTGGACGTAAATGTATAGTCTACGGTGGACGTATCTGTTGATGTGCGTGTACATGTGTATACGTATGTGTACGTGTGTGGATCAGTATATGTATACGTGTACGTATGTGTCCATGAAATACGCACATGTGTAATACCACATTTGCACACCTACATGCATGTGTATATGTACATGGAGGTCTTTATGTATTCACGCATGTACGTGTGGTGAGCGTAGGCTTGCGTGTTGTGTATATGTGTATTCGTTTGTATACGTACATGTGCACGTATATGTATATGTGTATGTATGTGTATATGCCCGTGCGTAGTCATATATATATATATGTTTTGTATATGCGCATATCTACGTGTATGTGTGTATGTGCCTGTGCATGGATATACGACTGTGTATTGTTTACAGTTGTATATGCATACGTATACGTCTGTGTACGTTAATGTATGTTTGTGTTCACGTATACGTTCAACTGCGCGCGTGTATGTTGTTATAAGTACATGGGTATATGGGTTTGTTCATGTGCGCGTAAATGTATGTGTGGGCATTTGGCAACCATGTGTCTGTTTGTGAACCTGCATATGCCTATTCGTACGTATGTATATATGTTTATATGCATCTGTCTAACCGTTTGTATGTGTGTATTGTCATGCTGACGGGTATGGATGCTGTACTTGTGCGAATTTGAATGTGTAAATGTGTGTATATGTGGATTTCTGTGTAAACCATTTTTTTTTGGATGCGCATGTGCATGCGTGGATCTGCATAGTTCAGGACTATCAATATATGGCTTTATGTGTACGTGTATTTGTGCTTGGCTGCGCACAAACATGTGTGTATATACAGACGTACACGCATGTATATAGTTATGTATTGTTAGTTGGGTATATGTATGTATGTATGTATGTATTGCACCACTTCGGCTGCGAGGTACACATTGTGCACGTAGGTTGCACAGCACACGTTGCTAAACACATCCATGGTTTCGCCTTTTTGGGTCTTTCTACAAACCTCATTGGGATTATTTTCGATGCTTCTACGGTTCAGTAGAAACATCTTGGGGTCGTCTTGGAGCCCTGGGGGCTCTTTGGATGATGTCGGGGCCGTCTTGCAGCCGTGTTTTTTCTTGCGCTGGTAATCGTGTTTCTCTTCCGCCGGTAACGCACATTGTACTTTCAGCTACGACCGTGGCGGTTTCGAAGTACGCGTTGGCTGATTATTCTGGCACGGCCGATCTTCCGCGCTAGACTGTCGGCTCCAAGACAGAGAGAATTTGAGCGCGCGCGCGAGTAACGCGCGCAGTGACATCCTTCGCACTCCATAGCGGGCCTGGCTCGACCCTTGGCCGCAATGGGGCCCGTTATCGGGCGGGACGCCCGCCCGCTTGGCGGGGCGCCCGCGGGAGACGAGGCGCCAGACATGAGGGCCTGGTTGCAACGTGCGATCGCTCTTTGCCCGTGCGCCGCTATCCTTGCCCAGACGCCCAGCGGCTGCCGTTGGCTGCTGGCCGCCAATGGCTGCTGGGCGGCGCTGCCCGCCGCAGGGCGGCCGCCGCCGGCGGCCGCCGTGGACCCGCCGCGCGCCGCGTCGCCAGAGGCCCCCGCAGTGCAGCCGCGAAGGGGCGCGCGCGTCGGCAACGGCCGGCCTCCGCTTGCGCCGAAACCCGTGCCCAAGCCGGTCGCGCCAGTTCGGCGGGCAGGCGCCGAGCCCGAACTCGACTTGGAGGAGCTGTGTGTGTCCTCCGACAGCGGCTCGCGCACCGACGAGTGCCAGGAGAGTCTCTCCGCGGCGAGCTCCGAGGACGGGCGCTCGGCGGGCGGCAGCTCGACGGCGTCGGCTGAAGGAGCAGACGCCGATGACGCCGAGCTTGCCTGGCTGCTGAGCGGCGGCCGCGGCGTGGTGGGAGGTTCCTGCCCGCCGCCCCGCTGGCCCATGACCGTCGACATGGACACAGCGGCTGCTTTAGTTCGGGCGTCGATTGCGCGCCCGCCCATGGAGGTCGACTAGAGCTTTCCGCGACGCTTCGCGTACCCCCCGATCAGCCTCCCTGGAACACAGAGGGTGGGGCAGCCGCCAAACAGGAGATCGGGAGCTGTCTGAGCAGGCCTAGGAGAGTCAACCATGAATGCCTTCGCGGATCCTTCGATGTTGGAGCCCCGTGGCAGCTTGCATGGGCTGTGTTGTGGCACCATGTGTTGAACGCCTTGGAGCCCTGTTTGGGCCCTCTTGGGACTCTTGAGGGCCCCAGGGGGCCTATCAGGGCCACCTTGGAGGACATCGATCCAACATTGGGAGGTTATTGAATGGGGTGCCCCCCTCTGGAACCCCGAGAGTCGCCTCTTGGGGCTCTTTTAGAGCGCTCTCGGGCGCTCTTGGATCCGTCTTGGAGCCCTCTCCAGCCCCTTTTGGGGCTCTCTTGGTCCATCTTGGGGCCGTTTTCAGGCCTCGGAAGTTCATCAGAAGCGAAGAGACGAGAATGCAACACACATTTGTTGTCCTCAGATCTTGTACGGATCATCCCCTCTAGAGCATACTTGGAATGCTCCGTGGCCACTTGGTGCAGTCTTGGAGCGGTCTTGCGCTTTCTTCTGATATTTTTGCGCATCTTGAAGGTCATCTTGGGCTCTCTGAGGCCCTCTTTGAGCCATCTTGGATCATCTTGGAAGCTCCAACCGGTCGCCCCCCCCGTCCAGACCCAGTGGGGAGAGGTAGAGACGCAAACTGCTCACTCCCACCCGCCCTCCCCCCACATTCGGTAGCAATTTCCCGAGTCTTAGCATGGTCAGCGGTCGTCTTTGGATGGACAGCTACTTGGAACAAATACGGTTCCCAGGTGCGCGACGCTGGGGCGATGTGCGCCGCGCGTGCCAGGAGAGCCGGGCGCGCCAGGCGCCCCCTGGGGCCCCAGCGTGCCAGGCTCGCCAGGTGCGCCTGATGCGTCACGTACTTCACGTGCGCCGAGTGTGCAGAATGCACCAGCCGCGCCAGGCTTCGCCACTTTCGTCGGTAACCGGAACATATAAATCGCCAAAGGCGGGCTGTTGTTCAATCCCAGGGCTTTTTCGAGGGTCGGGGACGACGTCGGGGTGATGTGGTGTATGTTTTGTTTTTCCGCTTCCCGGGGAATCAACGGCACATGTGTACACCAGGGTCCCGTATACACCAGGATTTGTTTCCCTGTGCAAGCTTCGGTGCAGGGCCGGAAAGCGCGTTGGTGTATAGAGAGTTCGGTTCCCTGGTTAGGGGCGCGCGCAGAGGTGTGCCAGGCTCGCCCGCGCACAGCGGAAACATGTCGGCCTCCCCATCCTCGTGGAAAGCCAGTGCGCAATTCCGGCGGAGTGGCCATCGTGATGTCTGGTGGGTCTGCGCACAGCAGGCAATGCGCCAGTTCCCCCGCCTTCCCAGTCAAAAGCCAATTTCAAGTGATCACGGGGGGCCCGCGCACGATCCAGATGTAGCCGCGTAGGGCAGTCTGTATTTCCCTACCATCCTGTGGTGTTGGGTCCTCGTTTTGAAGCGACAGCGCCCCGTCTCTCGCCTCACCTCACCTCCCGCGCTCCTCTCCCTCCTCCCTCCCCCCCTCCTCGCCTCTGCCCTCCGCGTGTCTCTGTTTCGCCGCACCCCTCACAACGATTCGTGGCCCCACAGGGAGCTCCATCGAAGGCCCAAGTGGCAGGGTTCGCATGGCGCCACCGCACACATTTCGGAAGACCCCTCACACGCTGCGTGGCCCCACAGGGAGCTCCAACGAGGGCCCCAGGCCCCAGTGGCAGGGTTCGCATGGCGCCACCGCACCCATTTCGGCATGCCCCTCACACGTTCCGTGGCCCCCTAGGAAGCCCCAGTGTCCGTGGCATACCCCTAAGGCCCAAGTGTCAGGGTTCGCATGGCGTTACTGCGCTCAATTCGGCACACCCCTCACACGATTCGTGGCCCCACAGGGAGCTCCGACAAAGGCCCCAGGCCCCAGTGGTAGGGTTCGCATGGCGTTACTGCGCCCAATTCGGCACACCCCTGGCACGTTTCGTGGCTCCACAGGGAGCTCCACCGAAGGCTCCAGTGGCAGGGTTCGCATGGCGCCACGGCACCCATTTCGGCGCACCCCTCACACGATTCGTGGCGTCATCAGGGAGCCCCATCGAAGGCCCCATTGGCAGTGTTAGCATGGCGCCACCGCGCCCAATTTGGCAAACCCCTCACACGTTCGGTGGCCCCGTAGGGAGCTCCACTGAAGGGCTCAGTGGCAGGGTTCGCATGGCGCCACCGCACCCATTGCGGTAAATCCCTCGCACGTTTCGAAGCCACATAGGGGGGCTACACAGAAGGCCCCACTAGCAGGGTTCGCATGGCGTCGCCGCGCTCATTTCGGTACACCCCTCACACGTTCCGTGGCTCCAAAGGGAGCTCCACCGAAGTCCCAAGTGGCAGGGTTCGCATGGCGCCACCGCACCCGCTACGGCACGCTCCTCGCACGTTCCGTGGCCCCATAAGGAGCTCCACCGAAGTTCCAAGTGGCAGGGTTCGCATGGCGCCACCGCGTCCATGTCGGCAAACCCCTGACACGTTTCGTGGCTCCACAGGGAGCTCCACTGAAGGCCCCAGTGGTAGGGTTCGCATGGCGCCACCGCGCCCATTTCGGTACACCCCTCACACGTTTCGTGGCTCCACAGGGAGCTCCACCGAATGCCCAAGTGGCAGGGTTCGCATGGCGCCACCGCATCAATTTCGGCTCCACCGAAGTCCCAAGTGGCAGGGTTCGCATGGCGCCACTGCACCCATTTCGGCATGCCCCTCACACTTTCCGTGGCCCCATAGGAAGCCCCACCTAAGGCCCAAGTTGCAGGGTTCGCATGGCGCCACCGCGCCCATTTTGGCACATTCCTCACGCGTTTCGTGGGCCCACAGGGAGCTCCACCGAAGGCCCCAGTTGCAGGGTTCGCAGGGCGCCACCGCACCCATTTTGGCACACCCCTCACACATTTCGTGGCCCCACAGGGAGCCCCACCGAAGGCCACAGTGGCAGGGTTCGCATGGCGCCACCACGCCCATCTCGGCGCACCCCTCACGCTTCGTGGCCCCACAGGGAGCCCCACCGAAGGCCACAGTGGCAGGGTTCGCATGACGCCACCGCACCCATGTCGGCACGGCGCGCACACGCTTTGGGGCCCCACAGGGAGATCCACCGAAGGCGGGGCTCACAACTGCGGTGCCCACAATTGCATAGTGTGGGTTCTTCGCCAGGATAATGTTGTTGATTGGGACGGTGGCTCTGCGCACAGCGAGCCGTCAAAAATAGTACACAGTGCTCGCGGGCCCCCCGAACACGACATTACATTTTGCAGCAAAGTGCAGTTCGCCTTGTTTTTTGACGGCGATGGCGGAGGGTGCCCTCATTGACCCAGGTTGGTCGCTGGTCGAGTGGGGGAGGGGCTGAAGCAGTGATCAAGTTACCCCGCAAGTACGGCCGTCTCGCTCACTCCACCCGTCCTCCCACCAAATAAGTAGCACTCGAGGCTAAGCATGGGAGGGGACCACCATTGATCATCATCGGGAATCGATGCACGCGCCAGGCAGGTGCGCGACGCCCGCGAGGTGGGCTGCCCGTGCCGGGGCACCCACATCAGCCCTGTCAAATAACAATGCAAAGTGATCCCAGGGTGCCCGCGCGTGATCGTTGCCTCGGAATTGTCTGTAGTACTGTTTTTTGACATGGGTGATGGGCCTGCGCGGCCTGCGCGCAGCAGGCAATACGCGACCCCCCCTTGTCTCTGCCAAAAAGCAATGCAGCCTGATCGCTTGGTGCCCGCGCGTGATCCAGATTTTGATGCAACGTGCACATTGCACTGTTGTTTTGACATGCGTGGTGGGATGTGTGTTGTCACGGTTCCAGGTTCGCCCCTGGTCAGATGGGGGAAGGGGCGTGTGTTGATAAGGAGCACGGGGAAGAAAGGTGTTGTCAGAGGAAGCATTCTCAACCGGCTGCTCATTCAAGGGCTGGTGGGATTCGGTGGGATTCTGCACCCGTCCGCCATTCGCTCGACATTGGCATTCGCAGTGTTAATGTGTGTGTGTGTGTGTGTGTTTGTCTGATCGGTTTGAGGGCTCGGCCGTTAGTCGCGCGCGCGCGTTCGTTCCTCCTGCCGCTGCGCGCCGGGCCGCGACGCCAAAAGTGTGTGTGTGTGTGTGTGTGTGCCGTGGGGGCAGCCTGCCTCTCCGCCACCTCCACCCTCCTCGGGTGCCGCGGGCCCTCTCCCCGCCCCTCGTCGCCCGGCTGAGGCGCTCTCGGCCCGCTGCCGGCAGTCGCGCCTCTGCCCCTTTTTTTCGCGCCGCTGGACGCCGTGTCCGGGTCGCGTTGCCTCTCCCCGCAGGTGCGCCGCCCTCTGCGCGCTCCCCTTCTGGCCTTCGCTTTGCCGTCACCTGTTCGGTGCCCCCCCCGTGGCCGCGTCGCCCCCGCCTCTCGGGGGGGTGCCTGCTGCCACCGCCGACCGCCACGCTGGTCCCTGATGGCCTCGGCTCCCTCGGCGCGCTGGGTCTCCCGCATATCTCTTGCTGCCCCAGGTCGGCTCGTCCTCGCGGCATTCGCCCCGGTCTGGGCCGTCCATCCCGCCCCCCGCCCAGGGTCTGGGCCGCTTCGTCGTGAAGGAGTCAGGACTTGGCATCGCTCGGACGTGTGCACTTTTCTTCGGCGAGGACTAGCGGGAAGCATCTTGGACCATCTTGCGACAAAATTAATGCACGAATGCGAAACGCACGGGGCATGGACGTCTGAGCGATGGCAAATCTGTTAACTGATTTAACCGAGCCCGCAGGTGGACTCCTCGGAGTAGAGGGTGGTAAGGGCTGATGCCAACGCCCCGCGGCTCATTGAAGTCTCCGCTGTGCTTGAAGAGCTTTTGACGTATTCTCCGCATAATCCACATCCTCCCTCTCCTACCGTCTGGCTCCTGCTACGTGTCCGCACTGCCCTTCTCCTTCCGTCTAGCTCCCGTAATGCGTCCCCAGACGGC